GGTTTGGTTTGATGAAATAGAAATACTGCTGGAATATTCTGACTCGTCCGAGATTTGAATGAAATTTAAAATCTTATGTAGTTGTCCATCTGTCGACCGGACATAACGACAAGGATAAACGGTGTAAACAGACGCTCTTACGTTGAAACAAAAGCCGAAGAGAAAGATGGCAGTAAAAAGACTAAAATAAATATTGTTTTGACTTGCCGCACGATTCAGGATCTAAGTAGGTTCGAAAGAGCGTCCGCGCTAGGAATAGGGCCGCGATGCGAAAACAGTAGGGGATTTTTTTTTTTTTTTGAACCGCGGGGTTTGCTTTAAGCGAAGAGACAATGTCGTATCCGCTGCCTAAAAAGGCTAGCCGCGTCACCATCAGGGCGAGCCGCCTGATGAATGGGCAGAAGCGTGAGTACTGCGGGACCAGGAGGCCGTCGTGCCGACAGCGGCGCAGCTGGCTTTGAGAAAGGAGGCCGACGAGGCCTGCCTATGGCCATGGCTGGGTAACCTGCTGGGCTGCTACCCTTCATATAAAAGGGTAGCATGATTAGCTTCTGTGAAAAGGAGTTAGCCCAGTTGGTTACCGTGCCAGATTTTCACCCAGCAGACGTTGGGATCAAATTTGACGATAACCTGCCCGGGCTAACTCCTTTTAGGAGTTGCCTGTTGGCTTGAACCAGGCGACCTGCTGGGCCGTATCCCTTCAAGTAGAAGGGCGACGAGACTAGCTCCCGTGATAGGAGCTAGCCCAGTACGTACCGCGGTTGACTTTCACCCAGCAGATGCTGGGATCGAGCCCGACGACACGTTGACTAGGCTAGCTCCTTTTTGGAGCAACCCACCATGCGAGCATGAAGCGGTGCCATTTTCGACTGCGAGATCGTCAAAGCTCACAACAGAAAACAGCCGCGCGGCTATAGCAGGGTCCGTGTGCAAAGGATGACACGCATAAATCGAGAGATGGCCTAAAAAAAAATTTGATTCCCCGAAGGAAATCGAACTTGGGTCTGCATCTCAGGGAAGGAGCAGGAGGAGGCGCCAGTAAGGCGCAGGGCCAGGTGTCGTGACCGTTGGCTTATGCCAACGGTAAATAAAAAAAAGAGAAAAGAAAACTGCGCCAGATGGCGCAAAACGATGTAGTTGGGGACTTACAGTCCCCAGAAGAGACGACAAACGCCCGTTGAAAACGGGCAGCCGCTTTAGGATATAAGTTGGTTTTGTTTTTTTTTTAGATTTTTTTTTAGATTCTTTATTTTCTTTTAGATTTTCTTTTTTAGATTCATTTTTATTTTTTTTATAAACCCGTTCATTCGACGAAACGGGCTTTAGTTAGAAGAAGGGAGTGGGGATTTATGTTGTGATTGCGGTCCGATATAGGATGTTACAATACTTGTCTGGAACTGGAGAGTTCCAGTAGTTGTCTTTGCGCCTGAATCTGGCGTGTTTCCACGTCGGATGCAGGCGCGAGGTGGGAAGTTGGAGATTGGGGTGTTGAAAGACGGGAGTCGTTCGTCCGAACGGAAAACAACAGTGCAAGGGAAAAACGGTTGCGCCCGGTTGTGATGAATGAGCTTGCTGCTGTGGCAAAAAAAAGTAAGGAAGAAAACGAGGCAAACTACCTCGTGGATGAAAGGAACAACCTTTCCAGGCTGTGTGGGAGCAAACCCAACTCCCTACTCAGAAAAGCCACGAATATTCGTGGCCGCGAGATCTAGAATCTCACGGCTCACGACGGGCGCATGGGAATGAGATTGTAGGAGTTGGTTGGAGGGAGAGAGAGAGGAGAACGTGGGAGTTGGGAGGAGGAGGTCCTACTCCTCACAACCTGCCAACTGCCCTAACACTCCTTTTTCTATCCAGTTTCTCCCAAAGCTACTGCGAGATGAGTCGGCAGAGAACTAGTTTCTGTTCAATTTGCGTATCTGTGGATTCTCAAAGAGGGGTTGGAGTAGAACTTCTGCTTTAGTGGAGGGATTAGTCCATGAATTGAGTTTCAGCCTTTTCCAAACCGACATGACGGTTTTTCAAAACTCTGAATCAATCCTGCGGTTCTGGAAAGACACCAAGAGGAAGCATGTCCAGATGTCTGCTGGGCGATACAGATTTCATTTTGTTGCCAGAATGAGTTATGCTAAGGAAATCCAATGTGACTCTTCTGGTGAGCATATACCTTTGATTGCCCACCTTGCCAACATCGCGATCCCCTTACGTTGTGGGTCGATAAGACCAAGACCTCCTTCCTCCTTGGGATAACACAACAAATCCCATGCAACTTAGACATAAATCCCTCGTCATCCGCTGTATATGGTTTCCAAATGAACTTTGCATCCCTGCGCCGAATCAGCGTACACAGATGCCTACCTAGGGGCCTACCCGCAACTACGAACCAGAGCAAAGAAAAAAATGCACTGTTTATTACCAACACTCTACCAAAAATGGAGAGGTGAGGAACTCTACCCTATGTTGCAACCCTCTGTGGAGAGCGCTGCAATAAAATTATCTCCTGATCTACCGTACAAGACAACAGGGAGACTTGAACCCCAAGAAATCTTTCTGATTGATCTGATGTTATCTGCTTCATTCCCCAGTTCATGACTGGGACATAGGCTTTAGGGAGGAAAAAAACTGATTTAGCCCAGTTGACTGATGCTTCAGAGAATTCCAAGTATTCATCCAGACACTCTTTCAAGGCATTCATGAAAGTCTGTAAGTTCTCGGATATAGCGAATAGGTCGTCCGCCAAAGCCTTGACCTTGCATTGGGAGGCTCCCGCATTCAGTCCCTTAATGCATGGGTTTGAGTGTACATTACACAAAAGATTCTCCATTTGAATTACAAACAGAAGGGGGGTCAATGGGCAACCTTGACGAAGAGATCTAGTCAAAGGGAAGGAGGTAGACACATAGCCATTTGACCATGACTAACGTCGTTGATAGGGAGTACAGGGCAGCAAATCAGTTGCATAAGTTATCACTGAAGCCGACATGATGCAGAGTAGTCAAGACATACGTTCAATTAACCCAGTCGTTTGTCTTTTTCAAGTCTAACATCAGGATTGCGAGATTTGCCTTTGAACTTTCTACCAGTTCGAGAGCTTCAATAGCTGTGACTATATTCTCGAAAATGAAGCGACCTTTGACAAAAGCAGATTGGTCTTTGGCAATCAGATCCGGGAGATATCTACCTAACCGTCTAACCAAAATTTTGGCTAGCAGTTCATAGGAGACATTCAGAACGGAGATAGGACCCAGTTCCTAATTTGTGATTTGTCCCCCTTCTTATATAATAACGAGATAATCTCATTTCTCATACCCATATACAGATTACCTCTCAGTAATACCTGATTGTAGATATCTAGCAGTTGATCTTTAATCACATCCCAAATAACTATGTACAGCTCAACAGAAAGGTCATCATCTCCCAGGGCTTTGCCTGTTGCCATAACATTCAGGATTTCTCATGCCTCTTTTGTGGATACTGGGCTATCCATATCCAACTTGCCCTGGTAGAGAATTTTTTTCCAAACGGATCCCAGTGATTCGAATCTTTCGACAAGTCGGTGGTAATCTTTTCGGTTGGTCTTTTGGAGGTCAAGATATCCTGATAGTACAAGGCAGTTGAGTTTGTTCCCTAGCAATCGATAGATCTTGATCGAAAGGATGCATGAGTTCACCCATCGAGTGCGTTAGTATTTTCGGAGTCAGTTTCTGTAAGGTTTCGCGTAATATTCGATCATAGACCACTATCCGTTTGATCTTTAGACGCTCTGTCCATATATCAGATTCCTCCTATTGGAAGGTATCCCAATCTGCTAGAATCCTGTCTCTGACTGAACTTCAGACTAAGTTAGAAATGGGATGGAGGTCCATGCGACCTTCTATGTATTTTAATTCCCTGATTAGCTCTGTCTCTTTGTTCCTCCTTTCAGTTGCCAAAATACGAAAAAAAATACTCAAGTGTTTAGAGAAGATGCGGGAGCCTACATCCCACCATGCCTCTTTTGTGCTAAAGGTATCATAGTTTTGCTTTCATTCCTCCCAAAATCGTTTCATCCATTGCACTACACCCGAGTCCTGGACAATCTGGGTATTTACTCTAAAATAGCTTGGACCTCTTTCCAGTTTGGTGGAATTTAGGACAACAATCACAGATTTATGATCCGAAATGGGGTTATCAACCTCCTCTATCATCACAGTAGAGTGTCATGTCGCGAGTGAAAGTAAAAAGAAATCAACTCTCCTTTGTGTAGTTCTTTTTCCTTTGAGGATGTTAGAACACCAGGTGTACCCGAGGTTCCCCGGGTGTAACAGTGCATATGGCTCAGTCAGATCCAAATCTGACATGAGGTAAGAGAGCACTTTTACATCGTGGTTTCCTCGAACTTCCTCTACATAATCTATAGAGGTATTCCAGTCCCTGACTACGACCAAATTGTCACAGTCGGGGATAAATAATGGACAATCATCGAAAAAGGGTGCTCGTTCAAAGAGGTCCGTTGGAGCATAAACAGATGCAATCACCCATTCCTGTCCTTCTATCCCAATTTTAATCCATGACCACTTTCCCCATAAATCCGCACAGAAGTTAACGATTTCTGCATTTAAATTCCTATGGATTAAAATAGTCACGCCACCTCTTGAACCCTTAGCAAGTGCCCATATTTGTGGGTCATCCCACCAAGAGCCCAACTCTAATACCTTAGACTCAGACAGTTTACTCTCCTGCAGACAAATAATATCGTTTTTCTTCTCATGTAACCAACTCTTCAATCGCCCTTTCTTATTTCTGTCCGTTGAATTTCTCAAACACCGAACATTCCAGATAGTTATTCTAAGTCTGCCTATTAAGGGCCATTACTCCCGATTGTTGGATTTGGGGAGTCACGGTCACGACAGAGGTAGACGCCGACCACGCTTCTGTCAATACTCGTTTCAAGAAAGGAAAGTCAAGTTTCCTTTCCTTCCCAAACTTAGTATTGAGCTCACAAACACATTCAACAGTAACTGATGAGGCGAGTTTGATTTGCCTCAGTTTTGACTTCCGTCCTTCTAACAGCCAGGTCAACGAGATCAATCTGAGTCCTTCACTTTCCAATTGCTCGAGTTGGTTCAGGACGAAGCGAACATCGAATAGAGGGGCATAGAAACGAACACTTTTCCCCTCTATATCAACAAGAAAGAGGGGCATAGACACTTCGGTAAGACAAAAAGTAAGTTTGCCCTGAAAGATCGACCTGGCCAGGGTTTCTGTCGATTGTCCCTTAGACAAGGCATCCATTCGGGGGCGAAATCATTTTCGTTTGCCTGTGACGATGACCAAAGATTGTGAGCCATTGGAACTGTCGGAAGTTTCGACATGCATGTCGTCCACCCGGATGTCAATTCCCACATTGCTTAATCTTCTTTGTTTCCTTGGTGACTCACCTCGCTGTCGAAAACCACTTTGACTGGGTGTCGGAGTCCTGAACGGAGATGGGTTCACTTGGTGTATCGCCTGAGATAGTCTGCTTGGTGATGTCCCATGTTGGAAGAGTCTTCCCGGGGGGTTACCCTGTGGTAGCCCCATCATGCCTTTATTCCATGGAATGAATGCATGCAGATTCGAAATGGAGGGACTCATCCCTAACTGAGAGTTCATCAACGACATGCCGTATGGTGTCGAAGTGAAAGGATGAGATGGTAAACCTTGCAGGTAGGCAACCCAAGCGGCTTCTAGAGTTGAAGCTGGATAATTTTGTTGGCCTTGAACCACCCCCGTGCGAGTCGTAGGCTGGACCGGGATGACTCCTGGTGAGAAAGCAGGATTCGACCGGATCGATGCGCCACCTAGAATTTTGGAACTCGCAGCCGGTTGCTGACTAGGCGGCGGAACTTGCTCTGCCGAAACTTTGACATACCCCGGACGAGGTTCAACGGCCGTTGGTGCAGATGAAGCCTGATGCTGATTCGAATGTGCTTCTCCCTGGTTGAGCCGATCTGTTCTTTTGCAGGTGAGCTTTGTATGAAAAAAAGTTCGACACCTTTTGCACCATGCAGTATATGCATCTGCAAGTTTAACCTCCAACATATCACCTTGACAAATCTGAACGGTGATTTTGTCTTTCATATTAGCTCTTTGCGTCGGGTCGATATCGAACCTCAGATTCACCAACTTAAGGTCGGACTCATCCGCTTCCGGTTTATGTTGCTTTAACACTTTTCCAATGGCCTTTTCCACATGGACGTGGAGAAATGACATCTCGTGTAGGGGTACTCCCACGGCCACAACCCATAACGTATCTTGATTGATCAGCTGCCTCCAATCTCGTATCTCTGCCCGCGTCAACCAAGGCTTGAAGTCAGTTCTGTAGGTTGTCCCGACGAGGTCAATCAAGTCAGTTTTCATCCTGAGCATCCAATCGGTAATGACCTGCGCTCTTGGAACATACGATACCACGTTTGGGCTTTCCACGTGGATTATGCTGCGCTTGAAATCTTGGCCTAGAGTCTCGCCGCTTATCCAGACATCTTCATATGCACATACCACATCTTCCTTCACTTTCTTAGGAAGGAATCGGGCTCCATCACGAAAAATGACGGTGACCGATCTCTCCTTCAACCATTTTATCTTGATCTCATCGAGAGTCGAGTTCAAGATAAATTTGACCTCCCTACCAGTTACCTCCATTTCTCCTGGGTCGATATCCGTTGGTAAAATTCCTTCCTCATAACAGGCTCTGAACATCTCCCTCGCTCTTTCTTCCTCCAAGCGGTAGTCGCTCGGCACTTGAGCTCTACCATCCCGTTCTCCTTGTATCACAGGCTCGGCTTCCATCTTGGCTTGGCTTCGCTCTAGTAACTAACGTCTTCCTAACACAACACCTACAACGAAGGAGAATATCAAACCTCCTCGGATTCTCTTGAAATTATTGGATGGCCGGGTTGAGGATGGGTAAACTCTAACCGCTAGTAGCATCTACCATGGCGTCCGCCATAGGACTTCGTCAAGACGAAGGCGCGGAGCTACCACCTGCGTTGACTCTGGCGCCGGTTAGGCCTGCCCAGGGAGCAGGCGGCGCTTGGCCGGAGCGCTAGCGCACTAGTAGAACCGCCTTTCCCCGGTCACTCTCCCATGCTCATCTTCTGTTTCTCTGTCCAATTTCACCTTTCACTATCTACCTACCACTACTCCTTCGGGAGAATGTCCCTCTTTTTCATACCAGTTAGAATTAGAAAAGTCTGCACGCATGCACGCACACGACGTGCGCAGGCATGCCCTAAGAGCCGCCATGAGGCGCGCTTGCGGCTGGATCTAGCAGTTTTCAGGGATTGCGGTCGTTCAGGACGGTCCTATCTGTGGGCATAGGCCCGCGCTGCACTACTCACCAAATGTGCAAGACGAGTATGGATCTTCCAGTAGAACGTGCAAAGATACACCGCCATATTTTTTGTCTTTTGTGCATGTGGAGAGTAGTGCAACGAGTCCCACAGGCCCTCGCTCCACTACTCACCGAATGTGCAAGATTAGTATGGCCCTCGCTCCACTTCCGCTAGACGACGGAATGATATTGATGTACCGCCATATGTTTTGTCGTTTGTGCACGTGGCGAGCAGTGGAGCGAGGCCCATACTAACACTACGGGTAGGACCTTTTCAACTCACCCGTCGCGGTAATTGCAGTCAGATTCGTCCAGTGTAGGCGTGCTGACGATCAGATACATCCAGAGAGGTCCTAGTGTGAGTACGCTCTGAAAATGGTCGAAACTACTGGATGGAGCTGCTGCCAGGGAACTATGCCCGACGGAGGTGCGAACGAACTTGAATGACAGCAACCCAGAAGCGGCTAAAGACGTAGTTTTGGAGCGGTGGTGGTCCAGGGCCGTCCGATCTGAGAGTCCTAAGGCCGCACTCTGGCCACGTCGCAGGAATGCTGGAAACTACTCGATCGAGCTGCGAGCTGCTAATGGGACTTGGCAGAGTGGAGAATACCATACCGGAAAAAACGGTCCCAGCGTAGGTTAGGCCAACAATTGGCGCTACGTTCATGCTAAGGAATCATGAATCTGGTCGACGCTAAGGCCGACATCATGCCAGCTGAGCACCACTATCGGTAGCATAGCATGACAGTAGAAGGACGAGTCGAACAACCCTCTAGCCGGGAGTGGGATACACTACATAGGTAGGGTCGGTTTGTGTCCCCTAAGGGCCTCGTCCTACCACCCCGCCAAACTCCCCAAACTCCCAAAACTCCCAAATTGGGTGTTGAACACGGTTCGGCATTCGGTGATGAAATGAATTTTGCGCCAATTGTAAAAGGAAGGGAGCTGATGTCAGTTTGTGGCAAGCACGAGTTGAGGTCAGAGTTGAGGTCGTTGAGTACAGCGCAAACTCGGCGGCCGCGACGGGGTTTTTGTTTTGTGGAGGCGCCCTGTCCTATTCTCTGTCGTGAAAATCGGCTAGGCACAGGACGAGCAACACGGGGCCGAGGGGGCCAGGCTCTGTCGAAGAGTTTGGTGGGTGTGTGGAACCAGCCATAGCCCGTACGGGCGAGTATTCGGCGGGGAAAAGTCCGGGCGAGCGCGCTAAGGGCCGTCGCAAAAGAACTTTCTGGCTGGCCAATGGAGAGTGAGAGTGGCGCAAGGAGGCCCTAAGGGCACCGTAGGAGTGAAGTGGGGAGGCGAAAGGGGGTTTCCGGAGGAAGTTAGTAGGAGGCAGCTATGTCTGCAGATGGCTGATGTAGTAGAGCCAGTACCAAGGTCGATTTTAACGACGACTGCAGGGGAAGTGCGGAGCTCAGCGCATCGTTGTGTATCGACTAGATCTAGAGTGAGTTTCGCGGATTGGCAGAGCGGCGATCTTGTTCTTCCTGCCATTCCCGGAACGCCTCGTGAGGTGGAGGTCGTCGTATCGAGGACGACGGAAAATTCGAACGTAATTACGTTATGTAGGACGTCGGAAGATACACTCAGGCAGTCGTTATCGAGGGTGGGAAGCTCTCCAGCAGAGAAGGGCAAGGAGAAGGACGAGGACGACGAAGGTCGAGCCTTTGTCGCGAATAGCGATGGTTTCTGGGCGCCGGCGGTGCGTCCGAAGGCTTTCGAGAAAGGCGACGAAGACGGCGGCGGTGATGGCAGTGGCATCTCGGTAGGAGGCGAGTGCGGGCTGCGGCACGTGACGACGACGAGCAGAAAGAAGCAGGAAAAGGACTATGTGCACAGGAGGTATCGGACGAGATATCGTGATGAATGGGAGGAATTCACTAGTGGAGCAAGAGAGGAAAGGTGTGCGGAGAGCAATTGTGCTGTCGACGAAACCGAGGGCGAGGTGGACTGGGGAAGACGACCGAAGGTTGGTGACAACGATGACGTGAGGAGCGATAACGGCGAGTGGCTGAGAGGCAAGTACCACGTCAACAGGGGGGAAGGACGAACGGAAGCGTCGGTGTGGAGAACGGCGGCTGCCTCCTCGACAATGGAGGCTTCCGTCGGGAAGGCGGAGGTAGAGCGGCAGGCACAGAAAAAGAGGGAGGAAGGAAATGAAGCGTTTAAATTGCGCGACTACAGCGCGAGCGTGGACGCGTACACCCAAGCACTGCTCCTTTCGCCCGGTCACGTGCCCGCGATCGCTAATCGGGCGGCTGCGTTAATCAAACTGAAACGATGGGAGGAGGCGGAGAGGGACTGCTCTGAGGTGTTGAAGTTTGATCCGAAACACCTGAAGGCCCTGATGAGGCGGGGATTGGCGCGCAAGGAGCTGGATCGGGCGGCGGACGCAATGCAGGACATTGAAACCGCTTTGGCGTTGGACCCGAGCAACAGGGATTTGCTGGTGATGCGAGCGAAGTTGAAGAAATCGTTCGAGAACCAGCAGCAGCATCAGCCGCAGGAAGACGAGAGAAAGAGAGAGAGAGGAAAAGCCAGTAATCAGCAGCAGGAGGGGAAGTCGAACGGTCGATCCGCAAAGGCAGCCTCTACTTCGCCGGCCTCTTCAAGAGCCAGTGGCCGCGATGCGGAGAGGAGAGAGGGGCGGTCGAGAGGTGGTGAAGACGGCAAGTCCGGCGGAATGGGCAGAAGCGGCAGGTCAGGCAGGAGTAAGGGGTCGGGGAGGAATGGTACCGTAGCGAGGAACCCTGTGGACGAAGTCAAGGTTGAGGAGGTGACCGGCCTCGTCGACGACAGAGACGGTGGTGCCGGTCCTCCAAACCAGCCTTTCAAGGAAAGCGTCGGAGTGGTGGAGGAAATGGAGGACGACAGTCCCTCTGTTTCCGCGCGGAGGTCCAGCCGGCGGAGGGGAATCAACACCGACAAACACCAGCCTCCGGAGCAGCAGCAGCACAATCAGCAGCAGCAGCAGCAGCAGCAGAATCAGCAGCAGCAGCAGCAGCAGCAGCAGAATCAGCAGCAGAATCAGCAGCAGAATCAGCAGCAGAGAAGACGAGGGGCCGGTGGTGTGGAATTGAAATTACCGCCATCCGTAATAACGGGAAACCAAAGCGGTGCTGCAGGAAAGAGTCCGAGTCGTGGTGGGGTTCCTCTTCGAAGTCCAAGGTATGCCAGCAGTGCGTCGGATTCCCGCCATTATGCACAGCAGGGGGTTTCGTCGCCGGAAACGACGGCGCCGAGCCGGCAAACATCAGCGCCTGCAGGGGGGAACTGGGACGCGGCGGGGGGAAAAGGCAATGTGGGCGGGCGGAGTGGGGGGG